TTTTTTCCAAATGAGAGTCGTTGGGACGATTATTACCTAGGTTTGACCTCGGGGGTTATTCCCGAGTCGCCTAGGCCGGTTTCCCGTGCTCATTGACCCGATCTCTCTAGAAGATTAACCGAACCAAGAGGAGCCTAATCCCTTCGACTCCCACGAACTCATCTCGTGAGCTTCTTTTTCCAAACGAGGTTTCCGGACGAGATGATCTAGGTTTAACCTCGAGGGGTTTCCCCGAGTTTCCTAAACCGGTTTCCTGGGCTCATTATCCCAATCCACGAATGGCTCGGAATAAGAGGAGCCTAATCCGTACTTCCTCGCGAACTCACTTTTCTTTTTTTTATTTATTTATTATTTATTTTTTTTAGGGAGCGACATACAATGATACATCAAAGATAGAATCACATAAACACATTTCGACCATAAACACATCAAGATGCACCACGAACGAGTAGCATAACACGTTTCCAACAATAAACGAGCATAAGGTAAGCATATCTCAAGTTTACCAATCGAGAATAACAAGGGACAAAACAATTCCGTGAATTCACATGCGGGTTCCACATTAGCAAATAATCGTTCAATTCTATGATATCGTCCAATTCATCGAGTTCATAATGCATGAAAACTCACAATGAAACCAATCGATATTCTTAGCTCACTATTTAACCACTTTGGCTATCAAACTCACATCAAGCCTTATGAAGGGGAATCGACACAAAAACATACAAGACTCAAAGCAAACCCGACCCAAGACACTAAAAACAAAAGAATAAACACCTAAGACAAAGTAATCACCACCTAAGCATGCATAATCAAGAAAAAACTCTCCCCCACACTTCAAACAAAGCAATGTCCTCATTGCTTTACCAACAAAGTATAAGGAAGGAAAACAAGATCATATAAGCTCATGCGGTGAATACCATAAAACACAAGAAACGAAAGAAAAGAAAATGAACACATAAACACAAAGACACATAAAAAGAAACAAAGAGAAAGAGAAAAATAAAGAAAAGAAAAAGCGTACTCGACAAGTGATAAATCACCGTGTGTCCGTCGGTGTGTCGTCCGGTAGAGAAGAAGAGCTAGGACCCTCGGTCCGTATGTCCGTATGAGAAGTGGAGGCTCCGGTCCGAGCCTCGATACATATGTCCATTTTGGCTTCCAATGACGTGAGTCGAGCACCAAAGGTGTGAAGGATAGAGTCGAAGCCATTTAATCGAGATTCAATGCGTGCAAATACGTTGTTCACCAAAGAGGTCATTTGAGCCATGAACCTGTCCCATGCGTTCGGAGAGTAGTCGGTGGATGGAGGTACGTTGCCATCATGATTGGCCGGTTGGGCATTCCCGGGAGAAGGAAGTGCAAGGAACTCGGTCGGGTCGGTGCCATCTCTCTCGTGCTCAACCCGAGCTCTCTTTGCCGCTTCTTCTCTTTCTTTCTCGGCTTTCTTTCTCTTATGTTGAGCCGCGAGTTGCTCATAGTAGTTCTTTACACATTCCCGGTTCGATTGTGGGTTAAGAGTGGTCTCATCGGAGGCTAAGTGAGAATTTATAAGCTCGTTGGCATCAATGTACCTCGATTGAACCACCTCGTCACCGTAAAGAAGGTTGAAATGTGCCGCGATTTTTGTGATTAAAAGTCCCAAAATCGGACGAAATCGAATACCTCCCGACACCCGCATCAAGGCACGAAATATAAAACCGGAGATGCAAACCGGCTTCTTGTGGATAGCGGACCAAAGAAGGAAAATGTCATCATAGCTAACCTTGTTCCCTTCCCCCTTGCCAAAGATGTTGTAGCAAAGAAATTTATGAATCAATGCCAATGCGTGGTCCAAAATGAACCTATTTGTTATGTCCAAAGTCCGGGTGGGACATCCGGATATCTCTCTCCAAGCTCCATTAAGATTGAACCCCGTAGTAATCGCGCTTGGCCCCGTGGCCGAGAACCCAAATATTTCACTCATAATCGAATGAGTGAGTTTCACCTCTTTTCCATTCAATCGACACACCAAAGCCGTCTTCTTATCAACCGCCTTTAAAGTCGTGAAAAACTCCAAGGTCAAAGATGCCCTCGCCGGCTCATCCATTTTAGAATATTTCTCCAACCCCAACACTTGAAGGTACTCCGTCACCTTCTCCGCTATACCGTAACGGGCTAAGTGATCCATACGGAACGGCTTCCACGGTCGAATATCCATTCGCTTAAGCTTGTCATACACGAGTTCCTCTTGTGGGCCGTGAATCTTGAAAGGCCCGGGTAATGTTGGACTAGCATCGGCGGTAATCGTATCGAGCTCGAGATTGGTAGACATCTCATTTTCGTTATCGGTAGGTTGTTGACGGCCTTTGGTCTTAGACGTGACCAATTTCTTCCTCGGGGCCATCGTAGCAATATCAAATTCCGGCACTCTTGAGTTACGAAACAACCTACAAATTCAATGACCCGGCAACGAATATACAACAAATGGCAAGCCCGGCAAGACGTGCCTAGCACAATAAATTCTCCAAACACCAACTCAACTTCAAGTTCAATAGCAAATTTCCCCAAACTCCAAACACCCACCAATTACAATTCAATTAACAATCACCCAATCTCCATTTCAACTCCAATAATCAAGATAAATCAAGAAGGGCAAGATTAAGTACCTCGGCAATGCACAAGACAAGGCCGTGAAAAGTCGAATCCGCGGCTGAGCTGGAAGGAGGTCGGGGGTATGCTGGACTAGGTGGTCGCCAGTTGTTTTGGGTTGAGGGCGGAAGTCGAAGTCGCTGCGCGGCGGTCGGAGGATGGACGCCGGTGGTCGCAACTGGAAGCTAGGGTTGCCGGCTCCGTCGGATTTGCAGAAGAGAGTTCGCTGTGGAGGTCGGAGCTCGTAGAGTTGAGCTCGTGGCGGAGGAGAGTGAGAGAGAGACTCGTCAGGGTTGTGCGTCGCCGGAACTTGAAACTTGGAGCTCAAAGTCGCCGGAATCTGCTGGCAGATGGAAGCTCGCGACGGGGTGGTGAAGGAGGTGACGGGTAGCTCGGAATTCGCATCGCCGTGGGTAAAGTTGTCGTCGTCGGAAGTTAGGTCGATGTGCAGCCGCCGTGGAGAGGTCGACGCCGGTGGCCGTGGACAGTGGCGAGAGAGATGAGGGAGCGGGAGAAAAAAAAATCG